GTGTCCATTGTCGGTCCAACAACATCCAAATAATCGTCCCAGTAACATATGACAGCACCCATTGCACACCTGTAAGGTAAGTTGAAATAAGTAAAGATCGGAACACACAAGGAGACAAGTTGCAGCAACACGTGTCGGCGACAGATTACTCTCTGTGTACAGGTCAGGAGATCAGTTGAAGCAACACGTTGTGGCGATACATCGCTAGATGGGTGGCGGAAGAAAGAAAAATACCGAGGGCTCTTAGTTTGTATTCAAAAGAATGGCCCGGCCAAACGGGCGAGAATTTGTCATAAAAGACGAGAGCCTTCATTCTAGAAACAACAATTGCTTCCTCCTTACCAGGTTAGTTGCTTGGGTCTTGATGGACAAGAAGTGCTGAACTCACAGTAGACTTTCTAAAGAAGACAGAAATACAACAATAACTGCAAATTCAAAGAACTGCGAAATACAGGCGTACTTAATAAGTTGAGCTCTTCAGGGCTTGGCCTAGCGGCCCGGGTTGCTAAGCTTCCTCGCTTTGCAGAGATGTTGGCCATTTCTATGATGGAAGTGACCGGGGCCCCAGCGCTGAATGAAACAGTCTGAAAATTGAATAATATCAAAATTGTTCAACAAGAGTAGCCGGCGAGCATACTCATTTGTCTGACTTGTGTGAGTTCGCAGAAACATTTGTCAACATTATAAACGATCGAGACTTCGCTATTTCACATTTAAAGTTGTGACACTGATAAAGCCAGAGATGTACAATATTCTCATTGCGACATCTCAAGACACTTCTCTATTTTTACCTCTCGGTTGCTTCCTTCTCCCCGCACCCACTGCTTCGCTACGCCCTGTGGCTGATTCAGGATTGGTAAAAAGTAGCAACCTGTCTTACACTTGGCACTCAAGAGGAAGTTTACGATGTCGAGACAGCGACAGCAAAGAGAAAGTAAAAAAGGCAACCGGGCGAATTTTCGACCGGCTGAAAATTCGAACGTTCACTCAAAACAGCCTTAAAGGTGGTGTTACACGAGACGATTTGCAACAACGATTTTTAGCACAAGCCGTAACACGGCATTGCAACATTGTTGCGATATTGTTTCGAATGGTTGCAACGTTGTTCCAACATTGCAACGCTGTGTTGCGGCGTATCGTCTCGTATAACATCACCTTAACCGTACGAAAATTCAGAGGCATAGCCGTTCAAAGTTCCATGTGAACAGCGGAATAATTTCACGTTTTATGGAAAACGTGAACACGATGATCAATTTTTCTCTTTTTCGCTTAGGTGGGGTAACCCGCCTGTCTATAACTATAATCTCTCACTTTAATTTGATCACGTTTACATGATAGGTGGGGTGACCTACCGCATGTCGCCTCACCTATCTGTGGTCTCCATGTAAACAGGCCCTAAGAATTCAACTCCTAGACAAGTCCAGGACTCGCCTGCATTTGACAAATTATGCGAGTTGGATTCATCGCCATGAAGTTTCAAACAACGCGAATTCTCTTTTTAAGAGACGTTTTCGCCACCGTTGCTGAGTTGCAATCGGTGTGCGAATATCTGCTGGATACACGTTTCTTCAAATCCTAAAACTGCCGACGAAAAGGCAGACGTTTTAAAGATGGGAACTTTATAAAAAAGCAAACATGTCTCGAGCTTGAAGTTATTTTGAATGGATTGGATCATAAGTGGTTGAATCACGATAGCAGTTCTACTGTATACTACAGCTCACCAGTCTATTACACTGTCCCTTTTCTGTAAGGTATAACAGATTATCAATTGCCACTAGCAACGATGAACCTCTGTCATGCGGCATAATGACCCAGCTGCTGGGTGGAACATCTAAACCTAGTTGAAAACATTATGGGTCGGTTATAAAAACGAAGTTTAATTTAAGCCGGGGTTTAACGAATATATGGACCTCCAGAATCTCTTCCTTAGTGCGATATTTTAAGAAGATACATGCTTTTCTTTAATTAGCCTACTCTATATGCTTTCATAAAACACTTCCCAATAAAACCGTTGTGCAAATTGAAAAATGGCTTAGAACGCCGTTTTGTTAAACACTGGCTAAACTACGTTTAAATAACTGGAACTATGTTTCTTAAGATTCATGACTGATCATTTTTTGTCGTCCGGTTAGGTCAGCTGGATAAACGCCGGTCTGTTGAGCGAGAGGTCGCTGGTTCAACGTACCACCCGGATCAACACTTAGGTGGGGGTCTTTTAACGCTGAGCAGAAAGTGCTGCCTTTCTAAAGACATCTGCAAACGATTAGACTTCCTAGTTCTCTCAGATAGGGACAAGGTGATAGAATTTGAACGAGTTGGGATCGAGAGCAGTTATTGTTTTCCTTGCGAAAAATGTGGCAAAATGCACATTTAACTAAGACAGATCATTGTAAATATTTAAGAGAAGAAAGCCTGAAAAATATTCACGCCGCCAAAAAAATAATAAATTAGAATTCAAGCCCACTTGAAGTCCGTCAAATGCTACAAGGAGTGATGCGTGACAAGATTTCTTTATTGCCCGTTGAACAACACTTTAACTCTCATCAAATTCAAACTTATCACCAAAGGAAAGTGAGACACAAGCAGATATTGAGTTCTATAGATCTTAAAAGCACGTGAGATGAACATGTAACTTCAAAATAAAACATTATTAATCTCTCTGAAACACTGAACTTTATGATTTTTTTACCTGGCGGGTCATAATACCGTCGACTCCTGACCTCTTCCACGTTGTTTGCAACATAAAAGTGGTAATTACTAGTCAGGATAGCTACGCCGGTCCTTCCAGCAAAATTATAGGTTTTGCAGTCAAATACTTTGGATTCCTTGGCATCCTACAAAAAAATGCAGATAAAAATTACCAGTTTCGTCTGCTGTACCCAACTTAAAAGCACCAGATCTATGAAGTTGCTGTGTATTTGATAAGGCCACATGCAAAAACAACATAAATACAATGTATGTTATGGGTTAAAATCATACCCTGGTTGATTCTTGATTTCCTTTGTCTCACAGAGCTAATTCATGAATAAATTAGGACTAGGAGACAAAGGAGA